TTTTTTTTTTTTTGATATTAATTTAGTTTTTTGTCTTGGTACAGTTATACATTCAGGTTTATCAATATTAAGTTATCTTGAAAATCTTTCATGTACACCATGGACAGCTGTTATGGATGATTTTTCAAGATTATTATTTAGTTTTATTCAATTTTTCTTTATTTTTAAACATTCAAATGTATGTATTTATAATAAATTATAGAAAAATTCATATGTTCGTTTTATTTAGTTAATCATCCGAGCACATGAAAATTTTGCTCGATTAGCTGTAATGCATGTTGTTGTGACCAATTTATGTGTATGGTATGTCATTAATTGATTATTATTGCTCAGTATTCAGAAGTTTTTTTTACTCTTGATATTATGACAAGATTTATATTCAAAATCATTTAACGGATGTTGCTTCATACAAATATTGACATTTCTGTTTTGTTATGATAGATTAGAGTCCGACGGATTGACTTTGGATCCGAGTCTGAAATTTTTCGTTAATCGAAGCGGAACTCTAAAATAAGCAATCCATTTTGGCAATTGTCCATAGATTTTGTCTGAGATGATGACAGCTGTTCATACCTCAAAAGTTTTTGGTTACACTATTAGGAACTACATTCCACATATGCCATTTGAATTCATTCTTTAGTTTTTTTTTCATGAGACAAAGAATAATGATCGGTTTTGAGTTTATTTAAATGTTTGGAAAATTGATAGAGGTTTTTATTCCCTAATAGCATCGAGCTACTACTCATATTGATAATGTTAAATCGGATATCAATAATCGAAGTAGTATCATGTTAAAATTTTCAACCTAAACCCAAGAGACATTACAATAACTTCAAATCTTTCATAGTGGATAGCGCAAAGTAATATTATATTGTACTTTAGTAAAGACTAAAGGCTCTTCTTCTCAAAAAAAAAATTGCGTTCAATGCTGCATTACATATGAATACTGACATTGATGTTCCGAACAATAATTGCACTCTGGAAATTAGTAACAGTCTAGCTAGCATTCCAATGTGTGTCAATGTTAAAATTGTTGATCATTCGTATATTCATAAATCAAATTTCTAATTATATATAACAAAAAAATATGTTTAGGTTTCGTATGGTTGTTAATGAAACAAAATCTCAAATACTCGATATGGGTGCTTATGAAACGACCACAGGATATAATAATAATAATAACAATAAGAATGTTACTATTAACAGTAACAAATCAATAAAAAATGGTCAAAATCTAATGAATCGATATCATTGTACACAATCTATAGAAGATACTCTTCAAATGACTGCTTTTATCAATGAAGGTTATATAAAATTAAAACCACTTCTATATCCATGCACAATTGAATTTAGTCTTATGTGTTTAACGGTAAGATTTATAATAATAAAAATTCTTCTTTTTTTTTTTTTATAATAAAAAAATCATTATCTAGTTATTTTTTCTCATATGGGAAAATATTGGTAAAACATTTACTTATAAAATGTCAAATAAAGCTTCAAGTAAAAATGTTTTTATGGTTAATTGTCATGCATCAATAAAAGGTTTATTTGCTGGTATGATTATATTTTCATGTACAGTCATATCAATAATTCTTTATGCTATTCTTCAAAATAAAATTAATGATGATAGAAATTCTATATCAATTTCATTAAATATTTTTCATACAACAACAATATCTTATCGAAATCGTTCATTACTTACTGTTTCTACTCATAGTCCATTAACTTCAATATCAAAAACACCAAAAAAAATTCTCTATAGTATTGCTATTGTTGAAATAGTTAATTTATGTTTATTAATTATTTCTTTATTTGCTACAATATGGGCATTAATTAAAATTCGTAAATTACATTACAAAAGAACAACTACACGTAAATAAAAGAAAACAAAAAGATAAATCTATGTAATAAAAATATAGATTTAAATCTTTTCTTTTGTTTGTTTTTTTTTTGTATAGGTTTTGATAATGTTTTGATTATTGTATCATTAGCAGGCATTTATTTATATTCAATATTTAGTGCATTTGCTTTATTTAATAATAAAAATCCAGCTACATGGATTGTTTATGTTAAAATAGTCATTGTTATTTTAGGTATAGAATAATAATTGAAATAATTAGATTAAATTAACATCTTTTCCTTTTTCTTTTTTTTTTTGTATATTTTAGAATTTTTTGAAGGTACTATCCATGCATTTTTCATACTTATTGCTTTACGTAAACGTCTTGTACGAAAAAATAAACATGAATATCCAGCACGTGAAGTTATTACATTATTAATAATACTAGATCTTAGTTTATGGTTCGAAGAAACGACAACAACAACAAAACACGAAGCTAATCCATTTCAATTAGCTTTCTATCATGTTATACCATGGTCAATAATTGCTGCTATTGCTACACCACTTCAAATATTTTTTCGTTTTCATGCATCTGTATGTCTTTCACATGTTTGGGAAAATATGTATGCTCTACAAAACTATGAACCAATTGCTCCGCATGGTTTATAATCAAACTTTTGTCCTTATATTTTCTATTCTTCCGATGACTATTTTGTACATACATATATATTTATATATGCATGAACTTCATCGTTCTCTTTTTGATGAAGAAAAAGCATTGGCCACTACGTCGAGACACTTCTCTTTTTTTCTCTCTTCTCTATTAACACTATCAGCTGAGCGATATGAATATAAGGAACGAGAGAAAAATGGAAAAAGGTCAGTCCGGCTAAGCAAACGAGCCATTCGAGAAGCATTTTTTTATTTTGATGTTAAAGAATGAATGGGACAGTTTCGTTAACATCACTTAATCAACAAAATGGTAATAAAATATGTTGTATTTGTTTGGAAAAAAAATCAGTTGATATACCAATAATTAATTGTGATCATCGATATGAATTTTGTAATGAATGTATAATGCAATGGTTTACAATGAAAAAATTAGATTGTCCCATATGTCGAAAAGTTTGGCAAGATAAAGAATATGTAAGTAAAAAAAGAAAATATTTTGTTTTTTTTTATCTTAAATTTAATAAATTCAATTTTTAGTCAGATACATCAAGTCAAATTGATAGTCATTTAGCTGTTTCACTTGAATCACTTTCATCATCAATTATTGAAAATACTTATCAACCATCTGCAACTTATTTCGGAATGTTTTATCCAACTATAAGTACATCACCGACAAGAGCTCGTCGACAAATGTATAGTGCATTAATTTGTTATTTATGTTCATTTTTCGTTGTCATTACTGTATATATAGTTCTTATATTGTTTAGTAAAAAATTTGATCGTAAAGTTTAATTATCTGAAAATGTTCGGATTTTTTCTTTTTTTCTTTTCTTTTTATATGAAATGTATGAAAGTCAAATTAATAATATTGAACACTAATTATTTTTCTTTTTCACTTAATAATTGCATTCATATGCTTGTAAATTTTTGGTTAAATTAATATGTAAAATTTCATTCAAAATATCTCAGATTAGCTTGCCATTGCTTATGAGATTCGTACGTAGTTGGAGGGCGTGTAGGACAGTTGCTCGCCTGGATATTTTACTCATGAAGTATAAATTAAGAAAAATATGTAATTCAAAAAAAAACAATTAGTGTTATTAATAATATTATGAAAGATTCAACAGAGAATAATAAAGCAGCATTTTAACAATACATACAGAGAATAAAAAATACAAATATTGATAATTTTTTCATATGCACCTCATTCATACTCTTGTTTATGTTAAAATGTTAAGTGGTTAGTTTAGTTTTGATTCTTATCTTAATTGTTCATAAAATTTACGAGTCGCTTGACATCATGAATAATCACCGATATGATTTTTATGTTTATCAACTTTTTTTACTAAATTCTTAGTTTAATTTTGTATGTAATCATCCATGACGTGCATATTTTCTAGAGTATTTATATTTCCAAAGAATTTTTTGTGTCATATATCCGGTCAATTATATATAAATAGTCCATGTATATTAATGAAGGTGCCTTTTTAGAGATTTTTAATATAGTAACTGGCGTGATTGCTTCCTGTGAGGTCATTCTGTTCGTCTGTGCGGCTTATATATATATATAGATATGTGTATGTTTTGTTGAATACAACTTGGCATTATATGACAGGTTGATGACGTTATTTTTGATAGTTTTATTTTTTGTATAAAAAAAATAAACAAAAGTTATAATTTTAAATAATATTCTATAGGAAAGTCTCGAATTTTAAATATCATAAAACTCTTTTGAA